TATGATAATTAATTTTAGGAATAATTTATTTATTACAAAATGCAAGACTATTATTAAACTTAGAAATATAATTACATAGTACTTTAATAAGAATGATCCTATGAATAACTGTATCATATGATGAGAGTCCATTTAATTAATGATGGTCAGTCATAAAAAGACCAACTATTAAAACTAAAGAATACAAATATTTGAATTTTCTTAGATTTATTTTGAATCCTAATAATTTCAGGAGAAGATCTTCAATCAGTAGTTAAAAATAAACATTAGATATTCAAATCTTAAAAAATGAATAATTCTCTTATTAAATTAGGCAAAACTATTATTATGAAATCAACTAAAGAAGAACATTTTATGCAGTTAATATAAGTTAGTATGTTCGTATTTAAAACAATTCGATTATTATTATTATTATAAATTTAAATTATAATCTTCATTTCTAAAGTAATTAACCAGATCATAAAAGTCAAATATATTACTTTATATTGATATTGCTTCATAATTATTATTTCTATTTAATATGCTTTTTTCAAAAAAATAACTATTGTTTTCATTCAATTCATTCTAATTAATATATTAAAAGATAATTCTAGAAACTTGGTGTTTTTTTTAAATAAAATTTATCATTTATAAAATATATATATGGGTATAATTTTATATATTCCTCATTATTCTTTATATCTCCTGATTTGTATTTACTTTGATTTATTATCCCATGTGATCAAATACTCTCCGTCATTACTCATTGTTCCATATAAAGAATTAATTCCAAAATGAATAGATTATTCAGTTAAAAACTCTCCATTTTATTTTTTCCTAATCAAATTAACATATTATCCATTCTTACTTACAAGAATACTTTTTTAATTAATATATTGTTAAGGAAATCTTTCATTGATGTCTGATCCACTTTTTATCGGAATATCTCTAGTTTTGGTAAATTATTTATTGTTATTATTCATCTCATAAACAGATATCTATTCTTAACTTTTTGGTGAAAATGTGAACATATTATTATCAATAAAGCATATTCGATATCCATAATTATCAATAATCTTTTATATTACTTTCCATTCTTTATTCTATTCTGATTATTCTATTATTAATATATATTAATCATATCCACATGATACAACTCTATTTTATTATTAATTAAAGCTTAATCCAAATACTTTTTTAGAATGATCATTTATTGTTTATTAACAGAACCATTCATTCTTATTTATCCAAAATTTAATAGTACAATCATCACTTCCTGATATTATCAAATCTTCATTAGTATTTATTATTAAACATTAGATAATATCATTATGTTCATTTAATATTTATTAATAACTCCATAAATTATTTTAATTCTATTTCCATATTATTATCGATTTATCACAACTTCCTGATATAAACTATTTAGATGTCTGCATGAAGTTTAAAGTAGTCACCTAATCCTTATGTTAATTTAAAGTTTAAATTAATTTGATCATTCCTTAGTTGAATTCAAATACTTTAATTAGTGAATGACATCCAGCCATCAATGTTGAACAATCTTTATCAATAGCTATAGCTAAACACTTATCACTTTATGAAATTGAACATTCTTGGATTAATTAATAATCGAAAGATTTGACATTCAATTGATTACTAGATTAATTAGTTTCTGATGGTGGAATATTCGTTTAAGTATTTACTGATTATATTTCTTAAGTCATATTTTTTATATTGATTTATTATTATTAATCATTTTGTGTAGATCTATGAGAACCTAATTCTAAACTCACCAAAAGTTGCTGACATTAATTATATGCATCAAATTAATTAAATTATTCTAATATAGGATTAAATTTTGAAGTCCAACAGAGATTGGTTTTCTAAATCTCTTGGATATATATATTAGAATCAGTTTAATTTGACTTCAAAACCATAAGTTCTAATTCCTCAAAAAACTATATTGAGAACATTCTGATCGCTGTTATTATAGTTTCTGAATCCATTCAATAATTATTGTAATCAATGAATTTAATTATTACATTACAAGTGATTTCATTTGATCAACTACACTATGTAATGATTAAATTAATTTTATTTAATTCGTTATGATATTTTCCACTTTTTCCATCTTCTTAACTTAATTTTCTTCAATTTCTTAAATCATTTTCTTTAATCCAACCGCTTAGCCGTCTATGTCTGTATTTTCTAAACATTCTGTGCAAAAGAGTCTTTAATTCCTTGATAATATTGGATCTAGTGCTATTGTAATGACTGGTAGTTTATGTCCTTTAGAGCAACAAAAATCTTTTTCATTTTCTATCATTTTTGGTTTTTACATTTAATTAAATAATAAAATAAATTGAGGATTATTTCACTTTTTTTTGCAATTTTTAATCATTAAAATTAAAGGATACTTCTCTCAACTTTCTCTGATTTTCAGCAAGGAAAAGTTTTCCATAACTTTTAACTTGTTCAAATCATATTGTTTCAACAGTAAAGCTCATAAACAAGAACTTTTGTTCAAAGAATTAATTCTGTTTAGTAAATCAATCATTTCCTGCAATATTAGCTTATTGATTACAGCAATTTACAGATAGTAATATTCCTGTAATACTTATAATATTTTATAATATTCTAATTATTAACATTTTGACTTCTTATTTAAATCAGAATATCAGCATCTTATATCATTAAAACATGCCATTTTAATCTATCATTTAAGATCTAAGATATAAATGCTAATGTTAATTTTATTAATCATTATTATATCTGAATCTCATTCATAGTGAACAAATTATCGAAACTGAATTATTGAATTTCTCTTCATCTTTATATGTCTTAGTGTTACTGGAATCTTATAACATCATAGATTTCTATGTTATACGCTATAAAAGATTTTAAGGTTAATTCCATATTTTTAGTCACCATTCATAAGTTTAAATATATTCCATATATAAGCATTTTTTATAGAGCAAACTACCCCTTTTCCAAACAAGAGAATGAATTCTTATATTTCTATAATAAAATATTAATAATCATTACCAAATTTATGTTATTCATTCAATTCATCTTTTTTTGCTAAACTTACCATAAATTTTCTTTATTAAACATTTTCAATAGTCTTTACATCTTTTAAAGATAATTGCATATTCTGGAAATCTTACTCGATACTGTTATCCATTTAATTCTAATTTGATATCAATTAAATCTTGTTATACATTCAAGCATAATTTCCTGATATTTAATTATATATGGATTAACAATTTTCTTCATAAATTATCCATACATGTAACTCTATTGATAAAAATTACCCTCTGTGTTCAAAAAGATATAGGTTATTTGTATTCCAGTAACAAACATATAGTTTACCATTATTTAAGCCAATCATCTAGTATATTCTTCTAAATAAGTATTAAATAAGAAGGCCAAATTCGAGAATCTTGTATTAAATCATTTTGATACAAAATAAATTAATTTTATATATCGAATCAATAAAATGCAACTAAGATTGAAGGGTTCCTAAAATAAAATTCATATATCTTTGTGTATTCCTTAATTTTAAGAATGGTATTGAATCCAATTAAAAAATATATATAAAGACTGAATCTAATTTATCTTTTTCTTTACAAATTAAATTTATTCAATTAATTTTATAATATTTTCTAAATTCCACCTTTCATGAAATCAGCTTAATCCAATCTGAGAATGACCATAAAATGCTCTTGTATATTTTGCAGATCTTAGCTCAACAAAGGAAATAAAGAATTCATTATTACAATTGGTCTGAACCGATTTAATTTGAAAATATCTGGAAAAAAAATATTCAAAGAAATTCACTAATTAAATATTTAACTTTACTTGATAAACCAAATTTTTTGTTTATTTGATAGAATTATTAGTATCAGCGATTGAAATAGATTGATCTTATAACATAATTTGTTAAAGTTTTTGGAGTTAAAATAAAGAGTTAGGTTGAAGGAAGGCTATATTTATTCTAATAAAAGGAGCAATCCATTAATACAAGACAATTTTTAACAAATAAGTCATGCAATAATCTAAGATAAAGTTATTTATTTTACTACTCTCATTTTATACAGATTGATTAAAATGGTTATTATACAAATAAACAAAATTAGTCAATTTATTCACTTATTGAATTAAAATATCTGGTTATTTCTAATACTAATAAAATTAAGAATAATAGGTATAATAACCCTCAAAGTTGCAAATTTGGTACTCTTCAACTATTTCTATACAACATTTAAATGATGAAATTATGATTCCATAGGTTTTAATATATCTCCAATTATATTTTTTAACTGGATATCAATGTAAATTTGAGACATAGATACCATTTTACTATTACCTCTTTTTAAATATCTATACAATTTATTACTCAATATTTTGAAAATTTATTTTTTTAATATTATGCTTATAATATTTAGAAAAATTAAACAATTTCATCTAATTAATTTACTAAAGTTTGAAAACATCATTTATTGATTGATAATTTTTTTAATTCAAAATCATCAAAAAAATATGCTTACAATAATTGAGAAATTCATTTATTGTATTTAAAAAGTAAAATTATTTTAAATCAATGTATTGAATGATGTTTACATTAATTGAAAAATTTATTTATTGAATTGAAAATTATAGAATTTATATTAATATTATAAATAATAAATTGCAGTTTATGTATATTCTGTTTACTATTAAGGACAAATTTAATTCATTGTATTAATAATTATACAATGTTTAATAATATGAAAATATGTAATTTTATTCTTTCCTGGGGTAGAAAAGAACATTTTTATGGGCTTTACTTTGGTTATGGCTTACCTCCTTATACGCTATCTCTAGTGTTATAGTGTCTTTTTCTTTGTAAAAGGATCCTGGAGCTGGAGGTTTCCTGCCCATATTTGGAAGATGATTAGGAAAAGGTATAGTAGCAATCCCTTTCCTTCAACTTCTTTTTGATGAATTCACTAACTACCTGTCGTAATTTGTGTTAGTTTTATGGTGAGGTAGCTTTATGCTTAACATCTCCAATCGTAAAGTCCTATAAACCTAGATCATGAAAATTAACTATGAGTCCTTTCATGGTTCTTGAAAATTAATTGATAAAAGATGTACTTTGGAATGCTTTTTTGGCTCTGCAGTATACTCCAGTAAGGGTAATGTTGTGGAGAGATGTGAACCTATCCAGAAAACTCATTTTGTGGAAAAATAACTCTGGACAATTAAATTATATTCCTTATGGTAAGGATGAAGATAATTGGATACTTGATGTGCTTGCTCTCTCGCCTTTTGAGAATTGGTTGATTTTTTTTAGTTGGAGGAGTCAACCTATTAATGATAATTCTGTTGTTCTAATCATTTAGAATATTATAGAACAATCGGAACAGACTTTCCTAACTTGTAAACTTTACTCTTTATCTTGGAACAAATTAGAATTTGAAGTTGGCAAGTTGAGTTTAGTTTTGGTCAGAGGGGTATCTTCAATTTTTGAATCTCTAGATCACCTTATTAGTATGATAATTAGTAAAATCACATCACTGAAGTTTGTAGATTTAGATGGAGAAAATTTGTTTGAAGAATTTTAAAAAGTTTAAATTTTCCTAAGAAGAGACTGAAATTTATAAATTGAAAGTCGAGATTCTGATTAATTCTTACTAATACTTGTATTGAGGGAAATTTAAGAAAATTATCAATTAAAATTAGAACTAGTTTTTTTAATATTTTTATTTTTTCAATTTTAATATATATTTGTATATCAGAATTGCCCTTTTTTCAGACTTGGATTATGCATGGACTTAATTGACAGAATCTTTGGAATTGATTTTGGAAGTTTCTATAAGAAATCAAAATTTTTAACTTTGTAGAGGTAAAATAGTAATGGAATGGATATGGAATAAAATAGAATATTATTGAAATTAAATTGATCCCTATAAACATAATAAGTTTTGAATATAAAACAATTATTATTATACTATAATAAATCAAAAAAAAGATCAAATTAAGTATTGGGCATAGACTTCTCTATTCACTTGCCAATCAAAACTTATTAAGCCAAATAGCCATCTTGACTAATTGCACCTTATTTGTATCCAATATTAGACTTAACTCAAAGTAAGCCCTAAATATCCTGATTTTGCTTTATTGCTTTACACCTTTAAACAACTGTTAAAAGAATATATAGTGATAAATTGAGTAAAAATCCAAACAAAAAAGAAACTACTTGATGAAGTATAAGTCTTAGTTTATTCAGTTGATGTTGTTTTAATAGCCAACCAAGAGATTATTTGGATTTGTTCATAACTCTTCATTTAAACATGTGAATAAGGTAGTTTCGATGTAAATCTTAAAAACAATTTACATTGCTCATAGAAGAAATTAACACCTTCAAGGCTTTGGAATTATTAAAAGTTGAGACTTCCCGACATCTCGGTATCAAGCTGAATTTTAGGGAAATATATAAGAATAATATAAATTTATAAGGAAAGTAGCCATCTTAAGATCGAGGCAATTTTTCATGATCAGGAAAATAATCCCTATTGGAAAGTTAACAAAGTTATGGATTCAGTGTATACTCCCTTTAATTAGGTACAATAACCAAGCAATTTGGCTTCAGAATAGTAGCATATGAGGCTAAAATATAGTGAGTAATTTTTGATATGTTACTTTGTGAATTTATTGATGTATTTTTTATAGAATAAAATTTGAATGTAATATTAAAAATAAATGATATAATATGTATTACTTTTAATGTAATTTAGTTTATTAATAAAAGAGAGAAAAAGATGATCATTAAGAGGAGATTGGAACTGTCTGATATACTTAGATTTGTTAAAAATTCAAATTAAATTGCTTTGGGAAGAATCCATCATGATCATTTTCATGATGTTGAAAAAATCAATAGCTTGAATGATTTCATTGATATAAAAAATAAAGAATGCGATGATTTATTGATGATCTTAATAAATTTGTAGAAAATATGAATCAATCATTTTCTTAATTCTAAAATGGTAACAAATAGAAATAATAATTAAATAAGGAAAGATTAGTACATTTGAATTCTTTATAAATAAATGATTTCCTGAATTCAACAATTAAATTTAACGAATGCAAAAAATTAATTATAAAAATGATTTCAGATTAGACTAAGAAACTAACTTATTTATTTAAATATTTATATGATTAATTAAAATTATCATCATTTAATTATCATTAGATTGATGATAATTCTAGTCATTTATCAAAAGACTATTTAATAAACGTAATCATATTATTATAAGCATTAGGTTAAATTTAAATCAAATATTACATTAATTGTTTATTTTATATTAGGAAAAATTATAACTAGGTGATAGAAATATTAGATAAATCAATATAACCAAATCTCAAGAATCAAGTATCTTAATAGAGTAAATGTGAAAATAATAAATAATTAAAAAGTTTATGTTTATTATTTTAGTATTAATTATATTATATATATATATAATTATTAGATAAAAATGAGAATGAAATCATTTGTTTAGATAAAGCTGATTCTTTAAGTGAAAAGGTAGATTTCATCATAATGTAATTAAAAGGGAATGTTTATTGACTGAGTATTACTTAGTTTATTTTTAAGATTATTAAAAAATATGATGAATACTTCAAATTACTGGATTAAGCATTTTCTATTAATCAGGAAAATAACTTTTCTATTTATACTAAAAGTATCTTATAATCAAATTTATAAGAGACTGTTTATATTTGAAAATGATCATTTTTTAATCAAAAAAATATAAAGAAGCTCTAAATTATTAAAAAAATCATTAAAAATAAGCCCAAATGATCGATAAACAATAGAATAAAAGAGTATTTTTTTAATTTATTTTGAGAGAATAAATGAAACGATGGATATTCAAATAATAATACAATTATATTATTAATTATTTTTCCAAATTACTTTATTAAAATGGGTTATAGCTTTTTTGTTTGAAAAATAATTGGATGATCAGAATGAATAATTTTATAAATAGATGATGTAATAAAAATAGATATTTCAAAAATAATTATAGAGATAATTGAGAAATTTAAAGTATCAATGGTTAATAAATGAAATTTGTACTTTCTTTATAGATGATTTGATCCAAAAAATGAATTAAAGAAATCTATACAAAAGATAATTAAAACAATTAATAT